AGATAGATAGATAGATAGATAGATAGATAGATAGATAGATAGATAGATAGATAGACAGAGTCCAAAACGGTAAAAAAAAAAAAGAGAGAGAGAGGGAGAGAACGCGATAAGCCATCGACTGGAAGTCTTCGAGAAGAGCGTCATATCTCGGTGATAATACCTATCAACAAATCAGGTCAAATGGGTTTTTTATGTTTACAATCTTGCTTAATAAAAGTGTATAACAATTGACCCCTGTCTCATTCCCACCCCTTCCCCTAGAAGTTAAGATCTTCTTTTTCATGCACATGTATTGGACATAGACCTAGCTTTCAGTCTGGTACTATCGCGAGTTAGTTATAAGAGCATAGATGTGTATTGTCCTTTAGAGTATGTATCTATATAACTCCAAAGGTCTGGTGATGAAATGAAATGCAGTTGAACGATGCACCTGATGTGATATGTACTGTATATTTTGCCAGTTTTGAGTCTCTTTTTATATTGAATTTTAATTAGAGTAAAATATAACTAAAATTGTTTGTTTATACCTGCATGTGTTTTATGGTCCTGTACAGTCAAAAATATTTTGCTCTGGGACAATAAAGTATTATCGTATCTTATCGTATCTTATCTTAAAGAGCAGGGCACCTCTGTACTTAATAAAACTTCTCTTTGGTCTCCTTACAACATAATATTATGCGTCACATTGGCCTTTCCTTTCGTCAATTTAGAAGATTCTATGACTATATTAAAGGTCATCGGCCCAATACTAAGCCTGCACCTTGCCCCTTCTCGCACAAACAAAATTGGTTCCATGATGACTTAGGCAAACGGACCCTTTTCAAGAGAAAACAAACTTAACAAGACACCAAAAGCGACGTCATGTTTCTTTTGTAAGCATAAATACTGTTTTGATGTCGGTAAAAAGGACCAAATGAAGGGTGAAAAGTGTGGGAAAAAACTGAGCTCAAGGAATGGAGAGACACAAAGAGCGAGGACGTGTTTGTTTCTTTTTTTTTTTAGCATAATACTCTTTAGTTGTAGGTAAAAAGGACCAAATGAAGGGTGACACTTGAGAAAAACTGAGCCCAAAGAATGAAGAAACTCAGAGGCGTATCCTTAATTGAGAAGTCTGTATAGATCGAGATCTTCCGGTGTGCTGTTACTTCGTCTAAACCTGCTCACGACTGGAGTCGGCGCGGCTAATGTTTGTGTTCCCGGGGACCTCGGCAGGGGGGCGGGAAGAAAAGAAATGTCAGTTCTTGGCGGGTCACTTATTCCTTTGAGCAGTAAGCGGATAGGTTTCAATAATTCCTTTTAGTGCGTTAAGGTACGACAGGCCGGGTTGTGACGTAGATTTTGACCCTGAGAAAACGGCGAGGGAAGATACTAAGGCCGGCGGAGAGTACAAAGCACCAAGAAAACGTAGAGTGGATAATACATAATATTATGTTTATTTTTATTTGTGTGGTGTTGTTTTTTTTTGTGTGGCTTTTCGCGGGCATGTCACTTTTGAGGATCTTTTCTCTGTTGTGTTCATGAATCTATTTATAATGTTTTTAAGCGTTTATAGTTTTTTCTTAACTTGTTTTGGTTGGATTTAGTTAAAATCAAATCTTATGAAAGTCAATAAAGTTATTCCCTTACAAAGCTACAGAGACGCTATTTAAAGACAGCTTTCTTCTTTCTGATTTTGAGCGAACTTGGGGAAAAAATGTGAGTTTTTCCCCTGTGTTCTATAGAAACTTTTTTTGACACCAAACCTTTTGTTTTCCTGACAGTTTGCTGAAACAGTCAAAGTGCACTTTTGTTGCAAACTATAAAAACTAAAGCATAGGTCAAGTCTAGTTAAGACTGCTGAGTTGGACAAGAGATACGTAGACAATTCTGCATGTCAGTAATTTTTCAGTAGCGCCGTAACGGTCACATAATCCTTTGTCTCTAGTGAGCTGAGGACTTACAGAACTGTGGCCAGAAGTCAAAAATGGCAGACAGCCTCGAGCTAATCTCTGGGCCCACTTGAAAGAATGGCAAAGAGCCTAATTCCTCTCTCATGTTTTGAGGGTCATTAATGATTGAGCAATCAGACCGTCAAATGTAGCCATGTAAGTGACGAAAATTTAGCTTAAAAATCTGTAACTTCACTGCGTAAAGCGGGTTTGCATGTCGTTAGTTGGGTTGTTTTTTCCCCCTTTGTCAGCTCAATAACTATCAAGCTGGACTACGGGTAGGGTTCATGTGGTTCAATTACCCAGCATGTCTTTCTTCAGCTTGGTTTAGTAAGAAAAATGTTCAATGGTTGTCTCAAAATTCCTTCCTTTCATTGGAGATGGAAGAGTTTGGCGGGATATTCAACCCATCTCACCTAATCCCACACCATCAAATCCCATCCCATCACATCCCATCTAATTGTATCCCACCCAATCACATCCAATCCCATACCACACCATCCCATACCATACATACCATATTGCACCATACCATAACATGCATACCATATCGTACCATACCACACCATACCACACATTCCGATACCATACCATACCATCCCATACCATACCATCCCATCCCATCCCATCCCATACCATACCATACCATACAATATCATACTATACATACCATGCCATCCCATACCATACAATATCATTCCATACCATACCATACCATACCATACCATACCATACCATACCATACCATACCATACCATACCATACCATACCATCCCATACCATACCATACAATATCATACCATACATACCATACCATACCATACCATACCATACATACCATACCATACAATATCATACCATACATACCATGCCATCCAATACCATACCATAAAATACCATATTACCATCCAGATTACGGGTCAAAGCACTATCCTACATAGCTATTCGTACGCCAGGAAAATGCCAAGCTTTCCTTTTTTTTTGTTTTACTTTAGTTCATTAACCGCAGCGCAGTTGAACACCAAATGGCCGAAGAAAACTAATTTAATCAAAGTAGTAATAACTGTCAAGGCTGTAAAGGGGGAGGGGGGTTGAAATGAAAGTCATCACGGTCGAAATCGTGTAAAGCATGATTATAATTAACTCCAGGAATTCGAGATACGTCAAAATCTCTTCGATCAAAATATTAATGAAAATATAATCGGTTTGGTTTTGGTTTTCAGACTCGCTGCACATTGACCGTTTGTCTAGATGATCACATGTCATAGCACCAAGCAGGCAGGAACAAAATCGATACCTTGCAAAGTGGCAGAATTTGTGCTCTCTCTCTCTCTCTCTCTCTCTCTCTCTCTCTCTCTCTCTCTCTCTCTC